CACTTGCCCGTGCGTATGGAACGTTGGTCCCCAGAGAGCTCCGTGAAGGCTGGTGACGAGACGCACAGGTCAGTTTGCAGGCCTCGCGCTCCCCGTCACCTCCCTAAAGATACCGTGAGGTGTTCGCGAGACGAAATCCCTCTGGCCGCGCCTTGCGTCTCTTCTCCCGACTCGTTTTCTCCTGCTGCTCAGGCACAGGCGCAGGCTCCAGGGGCCCCGTCCGCGCCTCCGAGCTCAGCCGCCACCTCTCTGTGTGTGACTAGTCTTGCGTCTCTCGCTACGGCCCCTCTGTAGGGTTCTGGGGCGGTGATGATGATGATGATGATGATGAAGACTATACTACGAAGCCGTTGTGCGTGCCCCACACTGTGTGAGGTGTGCACCTCGTGTGCGCCTGAGCTTCGTCCTTTCCAAATCGCACCCTCGTGTTACGGACAAGGACACCGGACAAGCCCCAAGCACGCGGCTGATGCGACTCTAGAGTCACGTCCAGACTGTTCGGGACCGTCAGTCGCACGGCCTCGACGTCCTCACAGTCTGTGTCCCTGCAAGTGAAACCGATTTCCTTCCCTGTTAGGCCGGTTTCTACGAGTTTCTCTAACTCTCCTTCCATGTAGGAATAAGTCAGCAACTCGGAAATGTGTCTCGGAAATGTGTCTCGGAAATGTGCCTGATGCTCCCAATTCCGTCCAGGTGGAAAACTGGGCGTCGCCGTGACGCCCCTGCTCTCGTTCCTCGCCGATTTGCAGAGCAGCGGGCAGCGTCTCCTTCCTCTCCATGGCTGCTCAGAGATGCGCGGGCTTCGGGATGGGAGGACGCGGCTTTGAGCTGCGGATCTTCGCGTTGGCGGGCGTGTGAACTTGAGGAAGTCGCTTTGTTTCGGTTTCTCGTGTGTCAGCTGGGGTGACTAAGACGACACCCGCCCTATCTAGGCTTGTCGTGGCACATCGTGGGCTCAGCCCAGAGCCCAGGCGCCCGTCGTTAGTGCCGCCCGTGACCTTGGGCAGGGCTGCTCCCGAGGGTGGCCTGCCAGCTGCTCCCACGCTCCTGCTCATGGATGTCCGTGTCTTCTCGTGGTCCCTGATGCTGCAGCTCTCCCCTGCTGGCCCGACCCCGCTGGCCCTCTGCCCTCCACTCTCGCGCTGTCCTCCCACCCACCTTCGCTCCTGCTGTTTGTCCCCAGGTGCCTCCTCGCCCCCTCACCACCCTGCCCGGCCAAGCTCTGTCTCCCTCCTGTGAACTGGACACTCCCACGTCGCTTACTCGGCGGTCCCCACGCGGGCTCTCCGCGTGTTTCCTGCTGCTCATGTCGTCACGTGTTTGGGTCTCAACGTCCCAACTGTGTAAGTTCCTCAAAGGCAGGACACGGATGGCGCACTTTGGGGTCTTCGCACACCGTGTGCTGCGTGTAGCTGTCACCGGAAGGAATACCATACGGCGGGCAAGGTGGCCACATGTTCTCCCGGCTCTCCAGGCGGACGACGTCCAGGCTGGGCAGCGCAGGGCTCGCAGTGACAGAGCGCACTCCCCGGGCCCAAACCCGCAGCACAGGCCGCGAACATCGGGGTGTGCGCCTCGACAACTCCGTGAATTCCGAAATGGGAGATGTCAGCGCAACTTGCAACGCCCCCTGTAAAATGCACTTTTGTCCCTACCAGGGACTTTGCTGACGTCATTTGTTGCAGAGCCTTGACTTATCTCTTTGTGGAGGAAAAGAAATAGATCCAAACCACATGGCACAGATGAGACCACGCAGGGCTCGGTGTCCGTCGTTTTCATTTTGCGCCGGCCGCGCTGGCTGCCCGCGGCGTCGCTGCTTTGGGTGCCGCCCACTCCCGGCAGCTGTGCTCGCTGCAGGCTTCCTTGGGGGGCCGGCGGGGAGAGTGTTTTCTTAAACGAAGAAAGTAGGCTTTTATTTTGATTTATTTCATTTTTAATACAGCTTCATTACTTCAGACGTTTTGGGTGCACAATGAAGAGTTAAACCCTGTTGCAGTTGCTTATTTTTGCTTAGCAGACCACCTCCAGTCGTGGTGGCCTAAAACAGCGATTTATCACAATCTCTCGGGGCTCTGGGTGTCGTCGGGGCCCAGCTGAGTGTGTCCCGGTCGGGGTCCCTCACACGGTGGCTGGGGGCAGGCTGGTGACCTGTGCGGCCAGCAGCTGGTGCCCCCGGCTGCTGTCGGGGTCGCAGGGACTCCCAGCCAGAGTGTACACGTGGCCTGTCCGTGTAGGTCGCTTCCTGGATCCCACAGGCCTGCACAGTGGCCAGCAAACGTGTGACGCAGGGCTGCCGGTCGGTGGGGGCCCAGGGAGGGTGCCTGGGCTGTGACGGGAAGGCACCGCTGGCAGCCACACCCGCATCAGCAGACACGATCACCTGCGTGTCAGTCATCTTTCGAAATTATCTGCAAAGTTGAAAAGATAATAAATCGTTTGTTATCCCTCAAAGAAACTCTAAATGTAAACTGTGGGGAAGTCAGTTTGGCAGGAAAGCCGTTTGTTTATGTAATTGCTGTCTGAGATTTTAGAATTTGTTTATTCCTACAACCAACACACGTGTCCTAAGTACACACTTCTCCTTTCAAACTCCTCTCGCCTCTTGGCGGGGCAGTGTCCCTGCCGCGTGGCCAGGGGACGCCCTTTCTAAGCGTCGCAGGGTCCTTTGGTTGTCAGGTCTGCCGTCTCCCTCAGCGGCGAAAGCGGCAGTTGGAAGCGAACAGTCTCGGGCCGACCCGGATCTGTGCGCGGCGCCCGCGGTGCGTCACCCGCTGCCACAGGGACAGGCGCTCCTGAAATGCCTCAGCGCGAGTTCTAAGGCGATTCCTTGTGGCTGAAACACCCACTCACCAAGCCGTCCCTGGCCTGCGTCCGGGTGAATGTGTCACATTCGCTGTCAAATTTTCAGACTGGAAAGTTGTTTATGCAAAAATGCAAGACCCTCTTAGCGCGTTTTCCGGCGAGATATGAACAAACGGTCTGAGCTTTCTCGGATGACATATCATTTGGATATGACTCTGAAATACGGAAGAAATGTTGGGGCAGAGGCCAGCTGGGGGGTCCAGCTCCACCTTGGCAGGCGCAGGACGGGCCATGTGAGGGCGGGGTCCACATCGTGGGAGCAGCTTCCCGGGGACACTTCCCCCAGCCCTTCCTCTTGGCAGTGGGCCTGACAGGTGGCTGCCACCTCTGAGGTCGGGAACATCGCTGTTGTCCTGGGAAGGGCGTGTAATGGGCCTCCTGGGTCCCCCGGCCTTTGTGCGGCCGCACGGTGGTGCTTTTCTCAACATGCTAAGTGTCTGGTTAATGTTCTTTCTTGGTCCTTAGAAAAGGTAAATCTGGTTTTCTTCTTCTTTCTTTTTTTTCCAGGCAGGCCGCTTCCAGGAAAGGGTCAGAGGGGAACGCGGGGACAGGAGGTGGGAGCCCGGACTGAGGAGCCCGTGTGTGCGCCTGACCCCGCGGGCGGCCGGCTCCTCCCGCTGTGGGGCTTGGGCGGCCCTCCTGCAGGAGGCAGAAGCCTCAGGGTGGTGTGGAAGAGAGGAGGAGGAAGAGGAGGAGGGGGAGGAGAGGAAGGCAATGTGGAAGGGGAAGGGGGGGAAGGGCAGAGCAGAGGGGCTCACTTCACCCCCCACCCAAGAATCGGCAGGTTTAGGTCAGGAAGAACCAGGGGTAACATCAAAGGGTCCTTTCCAACAGAGGAGGGACAGGCCACCGGAGTGACGGGAAAGCCCCAGCTCCATTTCAGTGGGGAGAGGCTGTTATTCCAAAGGACATGGGAAGCAGGGGAAGGGATGATGCCAGGGAGGACCCCGGGGCCACCGGTCTGCAGATGTCTCAAGATCAAGCAGAAAATGGCTTCCTTTTGTGGGAGGTGAGCAGGGTCAAGCAGGGGCCTTGCAGGGAGGCCGGGCAAGCACAGGGAGATGACCAGGGGTCTGGCCGGGCAGGGTCCTGGGTGGTCAGCTGGTCCCCGGGGAGGCTGGCGGGGCACAGGCCACTTTCCTGGGGACCGGCTGTGCTCAGGCCCCGCGGGAAGGAGAGATGTCTGAGTACGGTGTGGTGAGCCACGGGCGGCCGGGACACATGAGCAGCTCAGTGAGTGGGAGGCCGCGTGGCTCGGGGGAGGAGTGTGAGTCACCCCCGCCGCTCTGTGGGAGTCCAGTCTCTTGGCTGAAGACGTTCAGTGTTCCCTGAGGCCCTGTTCACAGCAATCCAGGTGTGAGTAGCTTTGTGATTTCTAGAATTCTTTTATTCTCTATTTTTTTTAACCACTTACTCCTAAAAATAAATTCTTATGTGAATCCGCAGCGGCTGCCTTCCTCAATCTAAGGACAGGGCCGGCACCATGTGTCACGTAAGGACTGGGCGCCCGGCGTATCAGCCTCTGCTGTCGCCCTAAGACTGTCCGGCAACACTTCTGAGCGCCGACTGTCCCCCAGGCAGTGCTCTAACCTCTTCACACTGACCGGCCCAGGTATCTCGGGACACTCTGAGGTTAGAGCTGTTGTCATCTTTATTCCAGAGGAGGAAACTGGGGCACGAACAGCCTTCAGCAATCCTTCCGAAAGCAGCTGCACAGCTTTCGGGGTGGACCCAGGACTGAATCCGGACGAAAGGGACCTAGAGCCCGTCCACTGACCCGCACAGCCGTGCCCGCATGCCCCCAGCCCTCCCGGCCAGCTTGCGGGTAACCTTGCTCCTGGGAAACAGCCGGGTAAAGGAGTGTGGAAGCTCGAGTGTGGACTCACCGCCCGGGCTTTCTTCTGAGGGGCAGCAACGCCTCCGTCTCGTGGCACCCACCTTGCCGTGGTTTGGCCCTGGTTCCCAGGAATCACAGGATTACTTAATAAGCTACAGGACGCACATGGTTAACCATTTGCATTTGGGCAAATAGGCGTTACTTTTCAGTAGGAAGTGGTAATTCACAACTTGCTTTTGGCCAGTTCTAGCATCTCACTGCTTTGTTCTCAATGACCATTACGAATTCGTCTTGTTGGCAGACGGGCATCTCGTTGCTGCTGTGGGGCCAGGAGAACCTCCGAGGGGAGTGTGGCGGACGGATCGCGGCGCTGCCCCAGGTGAGCAGGCCCAGGGCCCCTTCGCCTCTCCTTTCAAAAATTTAATTTCTGCGCTACCCTGTTCTAAGACAGGCATGTCAGACGTGGAGCTGTTCTACTCGTTAATCTCCCAGAATGCGGGCATGTTGATTGACCATGTTTGCTCTTAACAAAACGGTCTTCCTTTCCCAAATGCATCGTCCTTATGGTTTTAGTAAGAGGACTGTGTTTTCAAGAAACCTGCTTTCCTTCTAAGTGTACCATAAGTGATTTTATTCTGATTGCCTTGAGCTGGGGCTTGGGCGATGGTTTGGGCATGTCTTCCTCATAGAGGAAATACCCGCAGGGCTTCGGTCTGGAGAGAAACCTCAGTTCTTTATTTTACCAAGTACATAAAAATATTCTGAAAAATTAAAAATTAAGCTAAGAAATATTTTGGAGGCAGTAAGTGATTTATGCAATGCAAGATCACGAGTGGGAATCTTGGGGAGCCCGAGATGGAGGGGAAGGAGCTTGCGAGGGGAATTATCTGAGAGGAGCTGACCGGGTGGATGTTCTCAGGAGACGCCGGGACGCGGGCAAAGCCCTGGTGACGGCTGCCAATGCCATAGCGATCACAAAGCCAGCGTCATAGGACATAAAGGAAACATAGTGACGTTAAGAAGAGTCAGCTGCTCATTGCTCCAAAGTCCAAGCAGCAGCGGAAAATAGATGTTGCAGAGATCAGACTGTAGAGAAAGGAAAATGCAAGGCCTTAATTAAAGCTGTTGTCGAAATGGTTAAAGATACAATTTCTGCAGGTAAAAAAGAAAACATAAAAATAAGCTTCCAAAGAAGCAAAAGAACCCTACAAAAACTCAATAAACAAATTACTGGGAAAAAACCCTTCTGGCCTCCTGCTTAACCACCCGTGTTCAAAAGCAGAAGGAAGCTGGGCTAGAGTTTCAGCTGCACCAATGTTTATTTAACAGAGTTAAAAAACGGTGTGCCCGTGATTCAAGGGAATTTTGAGAAAACACATTTAATTGAATATCTACCATTGTCTTATGTGAATTCTGATAGCAATAAGATGTTTTAAAATAAATACATCATTTAAGACCTTGTGGGAATTTTACAGCACTTCACTAAGATCTGCCAGAGACAAAGCGAGTTAGGATGGCTGGTAAGAGACTGCCGTGGGAAGCTGACTGTCACCCGCAGTCCTTGATGAGCCGCAGTTTCCCACCTGTGAAATGGGTGTGCCGTCTACCTGGAAAGGCTTTGTCAGGGTGAAAGAGGTAACAGTTGTCAAGCTATGATCCTAATGCCCAGCATGTAACTAGCACTTAATTTAGAGCATATGCACACACATACACACATGCACACTCATACACACATGCACACACACATATATACACCTACACACATGCACACATGCACACTCATACACACGTGCACACACACATATATACACCTACACACACGCACACATGCATATACAGATATACATGCACATATATACATGCATACACACATGCGCACATATAGACACATGCTTATATATGCAGGCATACACACACACATATACACATACATGTATACACATGCATGCACGTATGCATATACACATACATGTGCAATGCACACATACACATGCATACACATGTACGCACACACACATTCTTATTTAGTTCTTGCTCCTCGTCTGGCAGAGCCATCACTATTTGTGAAAGTAAGCGCAAACTTAAAATCTTCTGACTTAATTTAAACACACTATTAAACTGGTTATTAAATGTTAATAAATTAAAAATTTAATTAGCCGGGCATGGTGGCACATTGCCTGTAGTCCCAGCTACTGGGAAGGCTGCAGCAGGAGGATCGCTTGAGCCCAGGAATTGGAGGTTGCTGTGAGCGAGGCTGACGCCACGGCACTCTAGCCCCGGCAACAGAGTAAGACTCTGTCTCAAAAAAAAAAAAAAAAAAAAATTTAACACAGTTTTTCTTACTAAAAACATTTTGGTAACTATTACTAAGGTATTCCCCACATTTAATTTTGTTGGGTAAAGTCTGCCCTCGGTCGAATGGACGGACCCTGGCGGCTGCTCTGTCGCTCCTGCCCCTTTGGGGCACCTCTCTCCTCTTGGAGCCCCCACTTCCTTCTGCAGCCCTCTCTGCCCCACCCTGGTCTGACTGGAGCCCGCCAGAGACTGGTCTCCCTGGGGTTCAGGGTGCAGTTACCCACCTGTCCTGGGGGCTGCGTCTGCAGAAGGGACCTGCCGCGGGCGGTCCCTCCCCCTTCCTCTGGCTCCTCCGGCTGGTTCCGCTTTTTAGCAGAAGGTATTATTAGGTGTTGTTTTCATTTTTGAATGAGCTAATTAGCTATTACTTTCCGAGATACATTTCCTATCTTTTGCATTTCGTACCTAATCAAAATGGCACTAGGAAGCCACATTACTTTATTGCAATAAAAATTTGTTAACATTCTAAATACCATGCTAAAAATGTTACTCTAGAATTAAGTTTCTCTTAAAGTAACACTTTGTTTTCATGTGTGGTAACACAATCTTTGACATGTTAGAATTGAAAGGCAGAAGCTAAGTGGTCACGTACGTTTGCACACGTTCCATCTCCACTGGATCTCACACGCTTGCATTTCATTTCAGAGGGTAGTACATGTGTATGGTTTCAAACCCTGAATGCAAAAGTCGTATGAAAGGTGGGCCTGTTGTTGTGTACCTCTAAGAAAGGAAGAAAAGCCATTCGAAGACATACCTTTTAATAAAAGTTGATTTCCCAGTCTGCCCTGTGTCCACGACGAGAAGGGGCTGGGCCAGGCGTTAGAGTGAAGCCACACAAGTGTCCCCACAGGGGCCGAGTGACTGGACTCCCTGCCAGTTCAGGGCTGGAGTGGGGAGCAGCCTGCCGCCTGGAGACGCACCCTGTGTCTGCCTTGGTGACACCCCTGACCGCACGCACCGGTCAGCCCATGGCAGCCCCGGGGAGGAACAATGAGCCACCGTGGCCTGGCGAGGTGTCCCCATCTCCCTGTGTGGTGTTGCCTGGCACAGGACTGGTTCCTGAGAGCTGCTCAACCTAAGAGCTGCTCAACCTATGAACGAACGCACAGTCCTCTAGGTCAGCACGACTCGAAGGCTCTGTGGGCAGGCAGGTGTGGGAAATGGTGACTATTCCAGCAAGGCTCTCAAGAGCCCCTGATAGATAAGCTCCAACGGGAATGTGCCGGAGGACGATGGAGTTAGCAACATTTCCCAAACTTACTGAACCACGGAGCGATCCTTCTCCCCACTTCCTCTCTGTTTCTCCCTTTTCCTACCCAGAGTATTTCCGGGAACTCGCTTTTAAATGCTGGTCTGTGCTAACCATCTAGTCACTCTGTGCTCCGATTCCCTATGAGGCAACAGTTCCCGACTTAGTTGCGCCAGAGAATGGTGCAGAGATTGTGTTAACGCAAAGAGCTGAATGGCAAAGCAGACATCCACATGGTCTGTAGGTCCTTACCTGACCTGAACCCTACTAAAGACAGGCAGATGCCAGACACAGGGATGCAGCCCTTTCCCGGAGGGGCCAAGCCGTCAGGCGCAGCTCACTGGCAGCGTGATGGGTTACAGGCTAATGTAAGGCACTGTGCGCAGTGCATATGGAAACATCGTTCCCAAAGGCCCCCCAACTTTGCCCATTCGGCACACAGTTGGAAGCGCCTGTGTGACGACCTCCCAACCTCCGGTGGACCCTGCTCCAAGAATCCATAAAATCCAGGTTCGTGTGCAATAAGCCATCTAGACACACAGGTGCACTCTGCTTAAACGCACTTTTAAGACAGGGACTGACAGGTTTCTTCTCACGGGTCCATACTGTCAGTGCTGGACAGGAGGTCTGGTCTCCTTACCCCCTCTTGGCGTCCCAGCCTGGAAGGGGCGAGTTGCAGCCTGCTGTTAACTCTTTCCTTTCCACAGAGCTCTGCCCAGCAACGCTGATTCAGGGGGTCGGATCCACCTTATTTTCAACAAGGACCCACCCACTAGGTGTGCAGAGAGTTTCCTACACCCTGAAGTAGCCTGTGCCGTTGTTGTTAAA